ACACACACACACACACACACACACACACACACATACACACACACACACACACACACACACATGGAAATACACACAAGCACACATGCTCCACTCTGTTTTCATACTGTTCAGTTATATGATATGAGATCTCCACCAATAGAAAGGAGCCACCGTAAGGGCATGGTACCTGATGATGCTCGTATCATCTCAGGTAACAGTCCCAGCGGATGTTTTTGTTTAAAGAAAAAAAGAGATCTCCTATGAAATGGATGTTATCCATGTCTGCGCTCCTGCAAATTAGGCTCCAATTTGACTCGTTCAGACCTTCCTAATATAGTAAGTTGGTGTCTCTGGGGCCTGCACTGTGTTCGTGATGGCAAGCTGTTTCACTCAGACCTCCAAACAGCTGTTGTTGTTTTTTTTTTTGCAAGAAGGCAGAGCCTCATGGCTCAGACTCATTGTCCATTCTGGAGAGCATTAGTCCAGTTCCTCTTCCATCGGCAAGTCAGCTGACAGAACCAATGAGTACAGACGCACGGTTCTTCCCATTATGCTTGAGGGACCCTAGCAGGCAGCTGCATTGATTACTTCCCTCGGAAGGATGTACCTTCCTCTCAGCCCTGCCTAAGTTATCCTAGGCTACTAATACCCCCCCTGCTGTAGCCTGTGTACAGCCGTCCCTCCGGTCGACCCGGACCCCTAAGAGGGGCCGCGATTACTTCCGTCGGATATACCAGCTCTCCCCACTGCCTAAGTCAGCCTAGTCAACTGGTAGCCTCCGCTGCTGCAGCCTATGTGCAACCATCCGTGTGCTCGTACCAGTCTCACGGTGATGGGGCATACCCATAAACCCTGAAATGCCTAGTGGCCTGGGCACATACTAAGCCCGTACTCGCAAGTCGCAACGCACTATGAAACCACTGTACCCCCCACCTCGCTATTCCATGTACGAACACTCATCCAGAAGCCAGCTGGGCTGACCAGTCCTGTGATGTCGATCACTGCGAACGGACCTCTTAGGATGCTTCGGGGCCCGCTTCCGTCGGAAGGAAATCGGTGGTGGCAGATCCGATTTTGCCTCCCCCCAGC